AGTTTTTTCGATGTATTCCTGTATGCCCCATAATGTGTATGACCCGGATATACGCCATTTGAAGGCACATTCCATGCGGGAACGGTTCACAAATAGGCCTCACTCAATTATTACGCTCGCGAAATACTATCGAAAAAACTCTTCATGAAACTTGGGTTACGGCGGTTATCCGATGCTCTGATCATGAACACGACACTCATTTTTGAATATGGCGCAATGTGTCGCTAATTTGGTGCAAAGGCTTTCTCGTACTACCATCATTGTCAGTCTGCGCGGCGGGGCTATTTAGCGCCATACTGGCCCCAGATGGCCTCCGCAGCAAAAATAAGTATCTGAACCGTGATCAGGACCATCAATTACCCCTACGTATAGAGTTACGCCGAGAAAAATTTTCCCGAGCTTTTTGTGTTATGTTGCCGGCCATGTCTCCAGCTAGTGGCTATCAGCCCCCCCCCCCCCCAAGGAGTCGTTATCCAACATCGTTAAGAGGAAGCTTTTCATTTGCTAGTATGCAGACGCAGAATTAAAAACTACACAAAAAAAGTGACGCACATACACTGCACTCCTCTCATACCTTTGATATGAGAAACAAAAACCTTTCTCCGGGCAAGTGGTAACGAGTTCTTTGTCGAAAGCATAGACGGTAAAAGTGAAGAAAGATCCAGGATGCTCGTTTAGTGGCTCCGAAGCTAGCACGATGTTCTATGAAGACCTACTGAAGTTGAGGGGCAAGAAATGAAAAATTTCTGGCGGTTCGTCTGAGGATACTCAACGGAGGGTTCGCCTGTCACTGCCATCCAAATGACCAAAAAAAGGCCACTGCGAGCGCGAAGGGATGCTGCATAAGCCCCTAAAGAAATTGCAGTGTACCTCACTGTATGCCAAGTAAGGCACTTGTATTTCGACCTTATTCAATGTTCTTTTTCATGTCTAGTTGAGAAACACTTTATAAACTCTATGTATTCTGCTTTACAGCTGAAACAGATGCGAATGAGATGATAAAACTTGCGTATTTTAAGCGATTTGTTTTTATTCCTTTTTTGACATTCCCAATAGCGTTTAGCAAAAATGAAACCCATCTGTGTGGTCCTTGTATGGACCCCTACAACATGCAACAAATCGTTTTGAAAAAGCTCACCACGGCCTGAACGACCTCCCTTGTAAGTGTGATCCTTAACACGTTGACGACGATGGCAGACAATGGTGTCTGCCAGTATATTTTCTAAGAATAAAGATGGACGAACAGCCAAGTTTGTCGTAAACGTGTCCCTGGGGGTAGCTTGTCCCTCTGAAATGAATACCACGAACTACCTGGCGCCCGCGCCACAGGCGCCGGCGCCAAAATACCGTAAATCACCAAATTAGTTGAAAACTTGGCTCGTGGGGTAGTTTGACGCCGTGAACACGAATATCACAATCGCTTGCCACAAAACCGCCTGGCGCCCGCGCCACAGGCGCCGGCGCCAAAATGTCCTAGATCACCAAATTTCCTGAAAACTTGTCCCTAGCCGGTAGTTCGACCCCCTGAACAAGAATATCATGTCCACTTAACGCGTTGACGACGGTTTCCGTCAATGGTGGACGACAGCCAGTTTGTCTTGTGGAACGGCGTCACCCAATGCTGTCCGACAGTTATTATATAACTCAAAATCTGCGCGATTGTTTCACTTTCTTTTTATAAAATTAGTTTGAGAACAATTTTTCGGGCCAAGGGGATGTAATATTCGTCTTCAGAAGGTCAAACTACCCCAGGAGACAAATTTTCAGCCAAATCTGCTTCCAGAGAAAAACTTGGTAAAAACTGGACTGATTTCTGAAGACTGGAGCAATAAAAGCTAAATTGTGTCGAAGATCGAGATTCGTATTCTCACCTTTTGCATTTCTTGAAACACTTTGACCGTAGCCATTCATTATTTGAATTCATTTATTTGAAATTTGCTGATTTTTTACGAAGGAAAACCTAGGGTCTCACGGGCAACTCATGAAAAAAAAAACGGCTCGTCGTCAAAGTGTTAAGAGGCGTGCGCTATCACTGTGTGCAAAGGACGACATCTAATAATCGAGCTATGCCTGCGTGGCGCGGTCGCACTGCGCTGTCAAGGCGGAACTCAGCTCGTGGAGAGAACTACAAAGTTCCCCTTAAAGGCAGTTGGCACGATGGTTTCCTACTTAGCCTAAAATGCTAGTAGGGCGCTGTATAGTGGGGAAATGGCGAAAGAACGGAGTGAAACGGTCAAAATCCGGCGAAGAAAAAGCCTCCGTTCTCAGTGACTTGTAAATCGATTTCGGACGAGTTTCCCGTACGCATCTTGCCAATCACCGCTACCGAAGGTACGAGGTACCCCCCGTGGGAAAGGCTTCGCGCAGCGCCTGTCCGAGGTCACGGAATTCTGTTAAGCCAGCTGTACAAATCCTACGCCTG